GGACCCTTCAGTCCACAGGCTGACGCTCTATTTGACACTGAGCCAAACCAGCTAGGGCTCACTTATTCTTTGTGGTTAATCCTCACCCAAGGATATTTTCCCATTGATTTTTAGGGAGAGTGGAAGAGAGATGGAAAGACAGAGGGAAACATCGATGTGAGAGAAACACATTGATTGGTTGCCTCCTGCAGGAGCCTGCAACCAAGGCACATGCCCTTGACGGGATTAGAGCCTGGGACTCTCTGATCAGGTCAGTGCTCTGTCCACTGAGCTAAACCAGCTAGGGCGAATATTTACTTTTTATTTATTAATATTATTATTTTTATTTTAGTTAATCTGAGGATATTTTTCCATTGATTTTTAGAAAGAGTGGAATGGTTGGGGGGTGTGGGGAGAGAAACATCGTTGTTAGAGAGACACAATAATTGGTTGTCTCCCACACATGCTGGGGATCTAGCCAGCAACCCAGGTAAGAGCCCTTCACTGGAATTGAATCCAAGACCCTTCAGCCTGCAGGCCACCACTCTACCCACTGAGCTAACCAGGCTAGGGCTTTAGCATCTCTTGAGGTCCCCAACTATGGCTGCTCTTCAAACTTTATTAGTTCCCGGGATATGCAGACTGGCCTCCACATCTCTGTGTCATCTCCCTGCTTCTGCTGCCTTCCTCTCTACCTTCATTTCTTGTATTTTCTTTTATTGATTTCATAGAGGAAGGGAGAGGGGGAGGGAGAGGGAGAGACAGAAACATCAATGATGAGAGAGAATCATTGATCAGCTGCCTCCTGCACCCCGCACACTGGGGATCGAACTGTGATCTCCTGGTTCACAGATGGATGCTCAGTCACTGAGCCACACCGGCCAGGCCTCTCTCTTCCTTTCTAGGTCGCCTGATCTCCCCAGTTCTGGGTGGACCCCTTTCTGTGTGACCCTGCCCCTGGGTCTCTGTCCATGCCTGCGTTTCCTCTTCTGCGTCTTTCTCCGTCACCGTCTCTCTGCCGACCTCTGAGAGGCCGTGTCTCCCGGCCCCGCCTCACCGTCGCCGGGCCCTCACGCGTCTGTCGCCCTGGCCCCGTGTCTGCGCCCCTTTCTCTCCGTCCGTGTCCCTTTCTGTCCCGCTGCCTGGCTCTCTCCCCCGGCACTGCGTCTCTGGTTGCCAAGGCGATGCCTTGTAAGTCTCTTGTTTACCAGGTTGCCATGGTATCCATAGTGACGCAGGCGCGCAGGGATTGGTGAGGCGCAGGAGGCTAGCTCCGCGCTGGTTGGCTAGCTCCGGAGGAGGCGCGTTGCATTCTGGGAGTTGTAGTCCGAGGTGGGCAAGCCGCGCTCTACCGGCCGCGGTCCGGCAGCGAAGAACGACTCGGGGCTGAGGTGGGTCTTCGCGGCGGCCGTGGGGCACCCCGACCTGGCTCTCTTGAGCGGTTCGG